AAATTCCAATATGAACTTCTTATAGATTACATCTGCTGCTGCCAAGCACCTCCTGCTCTCTCCTTTGATTCCACAACCCCAAGAAGGTGATTGATTTTTAAGAACAACAGCCAAGACCTGGTTTGTAAGGGGTATTTAATACGTGCACCCTTATTTAAAGACCTGGCTTATTAATTTAAAGGAAATAATTTAAATATGTGCCCTGGGTTATTTTCATTCAAAGCCTTCTTTATGTGATTGCACCCACTACTAGTTACACATATTTGACATCTGGATGTGTCCCTTTTACACAAAGAAGCAGTGCTGTAGTGATATGGCATCCTCTCAGTACTGAGATCACAAATTTCGGTTACTGGGAAAATGCTTTGCTTTTTATAAAGCCTGTATACTAGAGTCTGGGGAGCTGTGGGATGTGTAAGTATACAAGCTTCAAGAGCACCTAATCTCTGGCACTCAGACACATTCTCCTTTATCATACTATTTTGTATGTAGAGTCAGGTCTCCATATTTGAGTGTTTACATTTTTGCAGATTTGGTTATTTGTGGTTTTGATCCATATGTTCTCTCTAGGGATTTCTAGGGCATCCAGCATGACTCTATCATCCACTTCACCAGAAGCTGTCCATATAATAAAAATGGAGGACATAGAGATTCCAAAGCGAACACTTCTCTAGGCATGTGTAACTCCTTCAGCATGATTCTGTGGTCAATTTCTGATGGAAGTTGACCATGAGGGATGATGGAGGACCTATATATTCTAAGAGATATATTTTTTCAGGAAAAAATTGTGCTTTTTATTTGTATTTTTTCCATTTTGGGGCACGTTTAGCCCTAAAAGTAGAGAGCCTACTGCATGTATGTGTGTGTGTGTACAAACATTTCTTTAAATATTTATGTTTCTCTGTAGAGCAGCACCATAAGTGTTCACTAGGTTTTTCTAAACAGGAAAAATCTCACATGTCTAACAGGTTGCTTCCATTCCTTCAGTAATGTTGTTTTATCACATACATCCCTACTTGCCTCCATGACTCTAGTTCTTCCTTTTAAAGTTCAGTTCCAGCTTTATGTCTCCCCCCTCTAACTCAGACTGTTGTTCTATCTACTGCAATGCTGTTTACAGACTGGCAGAAGTTCTCCAAGTTTACAGATAGAAATCTTTCCCAGGCCTACTTGGTGATTTCAAAGATTGAATCAGAAAACATGTGAATAGAAATCCCAGTTCCCAAGAAATAGTCTTTAAAAGGAAGAGCACTGAGGAGTCCTTTGCCACAATTATTATATGGAGAAAATAAGTATTGGATTGAGGCTACTCCCATTTTTGTCTTTCAAGTTAAATTAAGGTAAGGTAAGCCTTATAGTATTCTCCATCACATGGAGTTCCTAGTTTAGTCTCTAGATATTGCTAGATATTATGAGATGTTTAGTAAAACAATTTTAGGAGGGGAGATATGTAGCACACAATATATAAAGTGTACCAGAAAGAGGGTTACAACAGCACAAGAGAATAGTAACCTCCTAACAACCAAATCTCCCTCATGTTGTCAGGAAATTTCTTTCTGTAGTTAGAGAATCAGGTACAAATTCCATTTCCATTATGCCTCTTTTCCACTTTTCTTTCTGCCTCCAGATTGGGAACAAAGCAAAACATGGTCAGCACAAATGTGTAATATATAAGAATCACTGCTAATACTTGTGTGATGCTGGCCTTCCTACTAAGGAGATCAAAGTATCAAATGCTGGGTAATAGCTTCTTACCCATTCTATCTTGATTCAGCTGCCAGTCCAGGTTATTTTGTATATGGAAACACCACCATTTTGCCTTAGGTAGCAAAAAATATGGATCAACATGGGTGATTCTTCCTATACAACTGTTGTACTGGAATACTAAAGCCAAAACTGAAGGTTACAGTTCTGTTCTCACGTAGCTGGATGTAAGATCCACTGATTTCATGGCAACTTACATTCAAATAAATACAACTAGGATTCGGTTGCATGAGACCTGTATCATCATAAAAGCTTCTAAGCCAATTATGTCAATTTAATGAAATCCCAGCACTCATATTGCTCTAAAACTGAGGAGAGCTACTGCTGAATCAGAACAGACATTATTGCACTGGATTGACCAAATGTCCAGCTCAGTATAAGGAAGGCAGCTCACGAAATGAAAGACAAACTTTATTTATTTTAACATTATGAATAGTCAATTCATTTCAAGATAGTGATTTTAAAATGCATACTAGTGCAAAAGTTGGGCAGTGGGAGAGGAATAATTCTGCAAATAACATAAGTGAAAACAATTATGCACCATTTGGACATAAATGGCATTTAGCCTAAATATCTTTCACTATATAGCCTGCAAAATGCGGTGTTCCTTTAGAGTTAGTGGAAATTAATGCATTTTCAATTCAATGAACTCAGTGGGGCTGTGCAAATGACTTTAATGGGATCAAGATTGCCTCTTTAGAGATTAAAAGGTATTTGCAAACCAAAGGTCTCTGAAGCCCTCCTTGTGGCAGAGTGTTCACAAAGTATGTTGTTCATCTGATATGTTAACCTTCTCCCTGGGTTTCAGTACTAATGTTCAGCTATTAACAAAATTATAGGCCAGATCATGGCTAGAGTTCAAAACATTATTGAAGAAATTTGTTTTTTGATATTTGCTTTTTGTTCTGCTGCCCAAATTTTAAAAAGATTATGTTCACTTCCAGTGTGTGTGTGTGCTTCATAGAAAATAACCGCTCATATCTTATGTGTCAGCTGTTTCCCCTCCGTCAGGTGGGTGGCAAGATGAGGGATGTAAATATAAGATTGTTTTAAAACATGTTGGCTTAAGGTCAAGGAGTTCCAATTCCTTCCTTTCAATCAGAGGCTTCTGGTTTGAAAGAAAGTTGCCAAACCCATGGCTGTATTTATAGCTCCAAAACACTATTAAATAGGAAGTTCGCTCTCGTGTTGTTGGCAATGGTGACTGTCACATGGTCGTACTGTCCAACCAGAGCATAGCATTGAACAAATTTACTTTTAGCAAACCTGAGATAACCTTGGTTTTACTTAAAAATACCACTACTGGTATTTTAATCCCGTAGGATAATAAAAAGTAGCCAACTTTCCCAAGTTCTATTTATGTTCTTGGGAAAACTCCCAAGGTAAAATTGTGGATGATTTCAGGATTATTATTCCAAATAATCCAAACCAACCAAACAGCGCAGTTTTGAAAACATACCTAACCCAAGGAGTTTTTTTCCATTTCCTATCTTTTTATTACACTGCAGTTTCCTAAAGTAACATAGAAACAGACACCCTTATGTTAGCCATCAGAAGTAGCTTCATCTTCTAATTATTGTAGAAAAACTCAGAAAAAGTATCCTTCTTTTGTGGCAACTTGGGCTATTTTTAGGTTCAACAGGAAAACGCAAATGCACAGCTTCTAATTTGTCAAAAACCGTACACCCTGGCAAATTGAACCATAGGATCATCATATTGGTTTCTAAGTTGGCAGTGAAGAAATACACATGGGTCTCTGTTCTTCATGAAAAAAGGATAAACAAAGAACTTCTGATATTCAAAAGAGGGAGAAGGAAGACGCTCTAAAATAGAACCATTGTTGAATGATGTCACTGTGGCAGACATTTCAACCTCCTTGTGACCTCTCATCTTCCTTTCTGCCCTACAGCAAATGAGTCTTCTTGCTGCTTCAAATTTAAGACATAAAGAATGTACCATCTGCAGTAAGGTCTATATTCCAATTTGCCAGAAGTGGAACTAGGATTCTTGACACAATAACACTTTTATTAGTTCATGCACTTTATAACATTCCCTTTTTTACATATGAAGAACCCATCTAAGATTTTATATTTTACTAAATTTACCCAAACATTTTACATTATAAAAAGTTTTTTCTTGCATTTTCTAGTGCTACTAGTAAAAAAACCCAGACAACTATCAATTTTTATGCAAACTCTGCATTTTGGGAAGCCACTAATTCAATTCGTAAAAGTTTTTCCCTCCCAAAATTATCCTTGAGAAATGGGAAAGGACTGCTATATCATAACAAACCAGTAGAGGACACTCATTTGTAGGCCTACTGAGTTCCATTCCAACCCTATTACTTGGGCACTTTTATATTTCTGTATTATAAAAGGTCAACTGACTGTATTATAATTTGGTTAACCAGAATTCCAGAACTGTGGTATTTCTTAGTTTAGATTTTATGGTAATGGGAAATGCTAGCATCCAGGATCATGTATTCCCTATTATCTATTATGTGAGTGTAGTAATAAATATGTTACACATAACATAATTAACTCACATGATGTAACAAGAGAGTTTTTATTTTTTGACAGATGTTTTAGCATTGCAAAATCAATGTGACATCACCAGACCCTTAGGCAGTCCTTTTGAAAACTCAGTCATGGGTAGCGACTAATACAATGAATACACAAATGTAGGTATTCTGCACTTGATGATCTTAATAATTAACTAAAATCTACATCCTTTGGACCTCACTTTGCACAAGAATGTTGTTTTTATCAGTAAAGCCATGAATGTGCATGGCTCCTGTTCAAATGTGATGTGGAAATAATAAAAGAAGAAACAGAGTAACTTGCCACAAATTCCTAAAGCACTTCTAGGGATTTCTGCAAGTCTCCTTATACCATTCCCATGGCATTTCTCCATACAGTCATTTCTGTCAGAGGATTGTCAAAGGGCTCTTTGACTTGGCTCCATTCAGTGAGAATTCTTCCTAGCAGAGTCTCCATGACTGCATGCTCCTTTTTCTATCCCCCTTTTAAAAAGGAGATCTTAATGTAGGGACATTGGGAAGTTTAATATTGGGAAAGGTACTTGTGAGCATGATTTGCAAAGCACCTAGGGTTAACCTCATCCGGCTGCTCCTAATGATATTCTAGAGAGTTATTTTAAGACTGGCCTCATGTTAACACTCTGTTGTGGAGTCTGTAACCCTTTCAAAAGAGGATATAAAACATTCTTCTGTTTACCTGCACTGGTGCCTGCACCGGTTGTGAGGTCCCCACCCATCAGGCCACCTAGGAGAAGACAAATAAAATGTTTATAAAATAGGCTGAAAGAAACCACAAAGGTCAAACAGAAATTATAGCCTATTCCTCAAAGCCCTGCAAGCCCTGTTCTACCTGAGTTCTTATAAAGATCAGGTTGTGTGAGGCATGCTGATTTATGTCAATGTACCACCCAACCCAATTCCTACTGCTTATGCCATCATTATTTAGTGGCTTCAGTGGGTAAAAGCTCTGGACCATATTGACTGAATGAGAAGTGACTGTATAAAATTGCTCACGAAAGCAGACACAGCCACTCCTAGAAGAAGCAGGAGGGCACATCTACTGAAAGTATTATTCCTTCTGTAGGTTTTCAAGTCGCTTTATAGCAACCATACATTGAGCCAATCCTCAGCAAGACTTGTTCAGATGGGGTTTGCTATTGCTTTTCTCTGAGGTTGAGAGCGTGACTTGCCCAGGGTTGCCTAGTAAATTTCCATGGGCCAGTGTGGATTTGGTCTCCTGGAGTCCTATCCACTCCAGCACACCATACTTGTTCTCTACCTACAGTTTTGCTATGATACAATGTCCCAATATGGATGTTTTCTAGATGTAATTCTATAGGTTGTAGTTTCCTCAAACTCCAATATTAGGGCCCTTCCACTTCTAGTACTCCCAAATGGCATCTAAGGTATTGCCAAATTCCTTCAAGTTTTGAAATCAGTTTGTAAGACAGCAATATGTGTGTGTGCATGCACACACACTCATGCACATATCAGGATATTGTCACTCAGGCATTCACATGGGAGCAGCTGGAATAGAATAGTTTCCCCCCAAAAAATATGACATAAGCCCTAGAGTTATAGAGCTAGCCTCTTTGTATAGCTAGACAGTCACTTCATGTTGGAGCAAATTCTTATTATTTAATGTGTTATTACTGTATTTTTACTGCCATGGATGGAGAGAACCAGTTGATGAATTTTCTATATCCTGAAGCAAAATCTGGCCTTGAGTACTATGGACTTCAACATGGATGAGTTGGGGAAGTGCCATTTTCCTATTTCACATAAGGCAGCAAAATGCATTGGACCAGCCCTGCCAGATCATTCATGCCTTTCACAATACTGCATTGCACAAGCCTTAGAGTTTGCTGTCAATTTCAATCTCATTAAAATAGAAATATCAACTGCTTTACAACCGGTTACTATGCTATCGTGTGATTTGAGCTGTGCAGTCTCTACAATTGTTCCTCCTCAATGATGAGCTAGGTGTTGCTCCCTGGGACATTTCTTATATACTGGGTTGTGCAAAACATTACAAAAATCAAGACTTAGAATGCAACATTGAAGTGAATAACATCAGAAGAAAATAAAAACCATAACGTTTTACTCCTTTGCTGCATAAATGCTATAGCATCATATTGAAAACACTTCTCATGGTGACTTTCAATATTTTTTTGTGTAGCATCCTTCCTATCATTATCTATACCCAAATCAGTGGCTTTCCTTTTTAACATCTTCTTTATGCTTGAGAAGACCTTATTCAACTTTTTTGATTTCAGCTTGTGTAAGGCTGGTTGTCCTTCATGCAGAGAGAATCTAGGATCATAATCTCTATTTATCCTTATTAGAAGTAATCCCACACTTTGGTAGAAGGCAACACCTGGCTTATAAGGTGAGAAAATCCAAGCTTGAGATGGAAAAATACACCATCAGATTCTAGTGCCTGTAACACATTATCACAAAGGCTATGGCCAACCATTTAACTTCATGTTCCAATGACCTATTTTGCCAGCAAACTAATCTTCCTTTGACTGTACTTCCAACTACCTTCCCAGGTTTTTCACATATAAAACACTGGAGAGTTATAATTAAAACACAAAGACTTTTTGAACTTGTCCTTTCACCATGAATAAGGCAGCATGATTGTGTGACAAAAGCTCTCATCTGGAAGCCCGAGTATTTATAACTTTCTAGAAAATATCTTCAGTTCTTTTTGAACTACCAATTCTAAAATAGGATCACACCTAATAGTGTTTGCTGTCAAAAGTGATGACCAATCAATATGCTAGAAAGAGATAGGAACATATGGGTGTCTAGCTATTTCCAACTTTAGCAAGGAAACCCACGTGTGGCTGTTTAAGTGAAAAATACCTACCTGCGTTACCAGCACTTGGTGGCCGGTGTGTCACACCAGGAGACATGCTATTCCGCTGTATGGAAGGGTGGGCCAGAGGCAAAAGGTTGGGGTTACCCAATGAGCTTACTGGATTGCTGTATACCAAGCTGTTGTGATTGGACACTGGTATAGAAACTGGCATCTCAAAGTTAGGTGGTGGAACAGCCTGTAGTAGGGACATGGGTGGGAGAAAGACAAAAGACAAGAATAGTACAGAGGCACAACAGTCTTGAAACACAGTTGTTCTTCTGGTACATGGCCATACAGCCTAGAAAACTCACAGCAACCACAGTTGTTCTACACAGAGTTCAAATATTGTGTACCTCCTGTTTGAAAAACATGGACCAACATTATTAGCAGAATTTTGGCTATGAGGATCATGAGTTAATATTCCTTCTCTCCTGAAACATGTCAAAACTAGTCCATTTCCTTTTGAGGAAAATATTGAGGGTTCTTGCCTCACTTTCTCTTTCACATATAGCTCTGATTTGTTAATCTTTATTTCAGCTTTCTTCTATTTGTAAAACTCATAATTGCTTACTTGCAACTTCACAGTGCAGATCAGAGACACTTGTTTATGGTGACTTTACTACTAAGAGATATATTAGGCAGTAGGGGAAAATACAAAAGAAGGGTTTTTAAAATTTCTACTGAAAGACCCTTGGAAGCACAAGATGATAATCACCTTGAGGAAAAAGAACTGTGTGCCTTCTTTCTCCACCCACAAATATATTTTCATCCATCATTTTTCATGAAGATATCAGAACCAATGTTAACATAAAATGTTTTTTTCCTATATAAAACCACAGTCACATGAAAAAGTAGAAAATATTGGTTTGATCCCAAAGTTACTCTAGTAATACACTGCTGGGTACTGGATTACTATATCCACCGCAGTCCTATTGGCACTCCTAAAACTGGTGCAAGTTGTTGGGAATCTCAAGAATAGTTGAGTAATCATATTAGTGGTTTCGTGAGTGGAGGGAGAGTTCAACAAATATCTCCTTGCCAAACAGCTGTACCCAAATGCAATGAGCATGAAAATTACAATGTTTCCTGCAATATAGGCACTGTATGAGGAGACAACCTATATGTTTCTAGCTGTGTTTTTCTCTGGAAGGAAAGGATCATGGCAGAGTCCTCTGTAGTGTTATCATATCTTTGGCCAAAAGTTGACATCCATTGCAAATATATACAATTTGAAATATAGGGAGCTAAACCCAATTGCTGATTTCAAATAAGGTACATCCACTGAATCACTGGGGTTCACATAAATGTTGGCTTACCACTCAGCAGTGGAAGCAACTAGTCAACTCTGGATGGCAGATTCCCTACTTATAAAAATATGTTACTCTTAGCAAAATGCAAGTGTACAAGACACACTCTGAACTTTGATTATTTGAATCATTGTACAAATAAAGACATGTTTGCTTTTTAGCTGAGTTGGAAATAATATTGCACATTTATCATAGCCACACACATCTATTTATCTAACTATTAGGAGTGTGCACAATTTTTACTTAGTAAGTTGTATCTAATTCATAAGTTTTGTATATACAAACAGATATTAAGAAACACCCCCCCTTGCATTGGGGGGGGGCACCCATGCAAAAACTTAAGAATCAAAACTCACCCAATATTTTTTCATTTGAGTTCTATAGTGCTCAGAAACCTATCAAAGTCAGTTTCATTTTTAGCGCAAGTGAGGCAAAGCCAAAAAGGCTGCCATTAATGGCCTCACCATGAGGAAAGGAAAGCAGCAGAACGGGACAAGCTGAGTGAGCTGGGAAAGAGACTAAGAGAGCATAGAATTCTGGGAAATGTAGGTTTGGAAGGCGAGGAGCCCTATGGCAGAGAATTCAAAAGGCCCTGTCCTAAAGTACATTTCCCAGAATTCTGGTCAGCATCAGAAAGCTCCAATTAGGATAGGGGAGAGATTTGTCCCTCCTAGCAGCACCCAGAGTTCAAAAAATTGTTGAATCTGCAAAGAGGAGGACTGACTGATACTTCAGTACAAGTAAATAAATTAATCCTGGGCTGGAAAGAAATCCCTAAACTGAAGTTCTATTGGTTTATATGAGAGACACTCAATGAGATAGCTGCTGTGGTTTTAAAAAAAACATTTTGTCAATACTTTTTTAAAAAATCACAAACATCAGTAGATGTATGAATACTTCTAAAACTTGGTGGGAATGATCCCCTGTTATCCTGTGTCATTGTATAGAAAATTCAAGAAGACGGCTCTTGCAGTTTTTTAAAAAACAATGTTGTTTCAAAAAACTTTGAAAATTCCCCCAAAATTTGTAGATAAGTTAAACATTCTGACACTTGATGGGCTAACAGTGGTAAATGTGTTCTATAATTGTAGCAAGCTTCATGCCAATAGCTGTAACAATGAGAGAAAATGGAGTCCTGAAGTTTCCCAATTGGCACAATTAATTACTTAATGAAAAGTAACAAAAAGTAGTTAACTTGTTATCATTACAATATAGACCCCGTCCAATTGGAAACACTTTAAAAACGATTCCTCCCCCTCTAATTTTGTAATGAGTATTGGAACTTTTTTCATTGATCACACAGGTCTACTATCTATCTATCCATCCATCTATTTCTAGATATAGAAATTTATTCTTGTAATGATCAAACTCATGTTGGAGATTTCTATGGTAATTTAAAGTGCACCTGGACATGCTGAAATTACTTATCAGCAAGGTGACCAACAGAAGCATGGATACTGTAGGATTGTTCTGATAGCACATTTGGAATAACATTGATGATTAGCATCATGTGTTGCACTCTCACATAAATTGAGTTTATGAACTGTTTTGAAGTATATATCTAAGAATATGTTGAATGAATAAAAGCTGGTAAAAACCTAGTTTTCAGAAGTATGAAAAGAGAGTGAAACAACAACACAGTATTGTCCCACTTAATCTTCAGGACCAATTGAGAGAATGAAACAATACCATTGTATTGTTCCACTTAATCAGGACCAATTGCCTATAAAAGTGTGAGATCTCCTCGGAAAATCATCAAAAAGAGGTGGGACAGCTCTTGTTGGTGATGCTTTTGCTGGAGATCCTGCACTAAGCAGGGAGTTGAACTCAATGGCCCATGACACCCCTTCCAACTCTATACTTCTATGACTCCTGCCTTCCCTATCTTAGGTACTAAGGTTTTGGGAAATAATGTATTGTTACTCATTATGGTACTGGGAAAATAAGTTGTTGCTAATAATGTTGTAGGTTGCTCAAAGTGACATTAAGTATGGGCTAAGTGAGGTTGATGGAGCTGTATGTTGTTCCCAAGGTTGTATTTGTGATCCTTGGCCCCTCCAGCCTGTCCTTTTTCTGGCAAAAAATTGAGCTATCTTACCAGGAGGCATATATCAGGGGTGCTTTGAATGCAATTCCTGCTTTTTGGCAGGGATTTGGACTGGATAGCTCATGAGGTCTCTTCCAACTCAATGATTCTATGATTTTATGAGGCCTCAGTAACTGACAAGCTCATATTTTAAATAAGTGGCAGAAGCCACTTATTAGACATTTATTTAAAATTTTAGAATATAACAATGAACTTTTTTTCCCAAAAAACAGAAGTAAATTTCCTGCCACTTCTGATTTTTTGTGAACTCAATTTTAAAAGTCTGAGTGGCCCCAAATGATCCCAGGATCAAAAATTCCCCCTCAAATCCATGGCAGTCACCACCCCTGCTGTACATGGATCGGAAGAAGAGCCATCATTATACCAGCAAGTGGGAAATTGCTGTCGCTGATCTTTTGAGTCTCTGTTTCTCAAAGAAGCAATTTCTACAGCTGAAACTCCAGGGAATACCCTTTATGTGTGAATCCTATGATATGAAGTTGAGAGAGGGGCCACTACAAGATACAATCCAAATTGCCTACTGATAATACTTTGATCATTGACAAGGCTGTTTCTTTAGGAAACAGTTTCCACATGCTTTTCACAGGGACCAAACTAATAAATGCCCTCTTTCTTTACCAGGTGCTACCAGGAGATCAGAGGTCAACAGGGGTTACAGATAGTTAACCCAGGGGTTATAGGCAGTTGTGGGTTATCAGTGGTTTGACAGCTGAAGGCATTTTTAGTTTACAAATGTCTTCCCTTCCAACAGAACTTGGCCTGTGGACAACATCTGCTTTGAAGAAAATTCTATGGCAAACTATTTCCTTAAAGTCTCACCACTTGGAGGTCACTTAAATCAGTCCCTCTTTGTAGTATGTGCATTCTCTGTGTCATATCTGGATAGATTTGATGTCTTGAAAATTTAAACCAATTTACATATTAACTTTATGATGCTGCAACTGAAAAATGCTGTTCCTGAAGTCAGCTACCATATCACATGACAATGGTAAAATGCACAAGACTTCTGTGGGAATGCAGCAGGTGGTTTGGTTGACAAATGTAACTGGAATATAAGCAGTAGCAAGCATTCCAGAAATCCAACCTGCAAATTGGATCTAATGACCCTTCAGACAACATCACTATAATATTCTGATTCTACTCAAACCGCCACAGTTGCAGCCTGTGGATTCCTGGGTTTGTAGCATGTGAGGTACTAGAACTCTCTTTCAGCCTGACCTACCTCACAGGGTTGTTGGAAAGGACAAAGGAAGGTCCTATGTGTAGTAATGAGCACACTGCATAAAAAGCAGGACATTAAAGTAACCAATGGACAATTGTACAATTATCTATAAGTGCCATCCCCACCACACTGTATCTGACTGGAGTATAAGTGTTATTCTTAAAATAGTTTAAGCTACTATGAGAATCAGCAATGCCTTTTGTGTATGCACACATTTATGATTTCTTCCCAAAAATATATTTTGTAGGTTTCTGGAATGGTACAAACCCTCCGTCCAAAGCTTGGAAATGTGAACCTGTATGAAATGTGGCAACTAGAATAGCTGTGAGGGATTGCATTACAATTTAGATCATATTAAACCTGTTCTATACTAGTTTTTCTGCCTGTTTGCCCATATTCAAGTTCTATATAAAGTTGTGATTGGGGGCCCCTAAAAGTCCCAAATGGATTGGGATCTGCATGTCTGAAGAGTCTGCTCAAATGTAAAAATTGTTGTCAGCATGATTATTCTGGTCATGGGTACTAAGAAAGGCCTTTTCTCAGTGATCTCAAATCTTTGG